TGCCTGATGGTGCCTGATGGTGCCTGATGGTGCCTGATGGCGCCTGATGGTGCCTGATGGTGCCTGATGGTGCCTGATGGTGCCTGATGGTGCCTGATGGTGCAAAGGCAACTATTTCCCACCTGGGCCTGACGGTGAGCCAGGAATTGCAATTCCTCACCTTGGGGCTCCTCATCCCAGTAGCGCGGACTGCTGCTTCAAACGCCCGTCCGGACAGCGGCCGAGCCAACGCCAGGTGCTGCAGACGCGGACAGTGGGGAGGAGGATAACGTGGGCCGAAGCTAGAGCTACTATCAGCGTGGTTATTAGAACGGGCTGATGTGTTGTTATGACCTCTGTGGCCATCCCGTTCACACACCATGCACGGGCGACGAGACCCATCCTGCTCGTGCGCATGGCGCTGATGCGCTCGTTTTCCCCCCCTCACTTCCGCTGCCTGTGACTGTGACTCTAGTGAAGACTGTGACCTTAGCGATTGTGATACTACTGAGGGCTCGCAGCATCGTGCTCCTGTCTCCCTCCCACGCAGCAGCTGGTACACTGGGGCAGCGCAGCGGGTGGTGGGACCATTTTCGGCAGCTTCCGGAAAGTTTCGTCCGGGTTGCTCGTAATACGGTAGGGATGATGATGCAACCGGGGCTGCTAATGTCGAGGACAAGAGTTGAACTCTACCCTTGCTGACTCCTTCCCGTCCGGACCTTTCCCCACCTCCTCCTCCTCCTCCTCCTTCTCCTCCTCTTTCCCCACCTCCTCTTCCTCCTCCTCTTCCTCCTCTTCCTCCTCCTCTTCCTCCTCCTCTTCCTCCTCCTCTTCCTCCTCCTCTTCCTCCTCCTCTTCCTCCTCCTCTTCCTCCCCCTCTTCCCCCCACTCCTGCTGCAGTTGTGCCTGCTGCTGCTGGTGAGGACGAGGAGGGGGGGACGCCATTGCTGGGGAGTCGGAAGTAGCGGTTGGCAGCCTCGTCGAAGTAGAAGCCTGGGAGGTCTGGACGGACACACGGGGGGGCAGATGAGAACCATGAGGTAGACAATACGGGGCAGACAACAACGAGCACTCCAGCCACGGGAGACAAGGAGTGAGGACGCCATATCTGGGCAGTCGGAAGTAACGGTAGGCGGTCTCGTCATAGTATGGGTCGGGGACGTCTGTACGGAGCCATAATGCAGATAACAACTGACACCCGTGAGGCGCGGCGACGAGACGAACGTGGGGGACGAACGGCAGGAGTCAAGCGCTTGAGGCGGCGTACGCGTTACAAGCTTCAAAGGTACGAACAGGACGTGGCGGCGGTCTCGGGAGAAAAGGAGAAACCTGCGCGTGGTTGATGCGACATGAAGGTTTGTGTCGAGGTACGGAGATTCCTGGACCTACCTTTCACCATGGCCAAGCAGCTTCTCTAGATTCGAGGCGTAGTGCTGACGACTCCTTATGACGCCGCCAGTTCGTGGTGACCCGACGCAAGGTTACCACGCTCGATGATCGCCGTATATTCTAGTCTTGTAACGAGCCCAGCCTCAAATTCTCCAACTCGCCTCAAATTCTCAGTTTTTCATCGAAACTGGTCAATTACTGAATCCCAGTTGTCAATCTTGAAGATTCTGAATCCCTAAGACTAAGGTAGTGGTCCATCGTAGGCAGTTTCCGCCAGGGCACGCAAAGCGGCACAGGCAGCGGTCCAGGGCTCTAGGCGCCCTGGACTGTATGTACCACGCCCTAAGGTCGAATCGACACCACGGCCCGGAATGGAACCACCTCCTAGTCAATACTGTAACCAGTACTGCTGCCAAGGGCGTGTTCCGAAAAATGGAACGGAATGGCAAGTGAATCACCTGTCGGGTCACAAGTGCAAATTCCTCCCTGCCTTTGTTTCGTTTTGTTCAGTACATTGCCATTCGTCACCTTGCGGTGCACCTTCTTGTGTGTTAAGCACGATATTCGATTCAGCATTGGCGAAATTGCAACGTAGGTTTCGCGCCCGGAACGTACGAGCACTCACAGCAGATGAAACCAGAAGCAAAAACCGGCGAAGTCCATGTTGTTACCTTTGTGGCTTCGAGACCTTTGGCGTGTAGTAACGACAGTTGCGGCGTCGCGAAAAATCGCTTTACCTGTTCGGAAAGGAACAGAATTGCGTCGCGTCATGTATTGTAACTAACGATACAGAGCCTGTCCCGTCGCGAGAATTCGCACGACACCCCTCGACAATACCAAGGGGCAACGGTCAAATCAGAAATCCGTGCAAGCCAGCCTTGATTTCTTGCGCCCTTCTCCACCACCACCTTCTCATCACTCGGCCTCCACACCAGAATCCTGATCTTAGCTTGTTATCTTGGTTTCTTGTATTGTTCCCGTAAAATCACTTTCCTCGCGCCACGCGCTACTCGAAGAAGCCACGAGCTTCCTCCTCCCCACGAGCTTCCTCCTCCCCACGATATGTCGACCACTCTTTCCCCGTTACAGTCCCTCTTGGCGTACGTTCAAGAAGCCACAGGACTTGCTCCGTCAACAACAGTCTCGTTATTAGTCCTTATCGCGTCAATCATCTACGCCGTCTTCTCTTACGTCCAGCACCGCGCAGCGCCTGTCCCGCCGCCAGTCCCGGGCCCACCGGAGCCGATTAAAATAGGGGAAATTACCCTCGAGGATTTGAGCCAGTACAGCGGCAGCGACCCAGAGAAACCGATTCTCTTGGTGAGTGAAACGACGCCCCTAATTGATTGCCTGTTGCAGTCTCCAGATAAGTTAAAGGGCTCTTGTTGGCGATGTGGTCGCCATCATCTTGGCTCGCGTCGCAGTGCCTTGTTCCTTTCTCGCGAGTGTGGTGGCTTATCGTGCCTTATCTTGCCTTATCGTGCCTTATCGTGCCTTATCTTGCCTAACTACGGATGCGAATCGCTGTACAGATAACCAATGGCCGATCCACCCCTCGCCTTATTCCGTGCCCGTCTGTTCTCTCCTCCCTCCCCTCTCTTCGCCTTCTCAGGCCATTCGAGGGAAGATCTACGACGTGACTCGCGGGAAGTAAGTTCTTTCCTTCTCACTTGCACTTATCCTAGTGACGTTCATATCTACCTACTTACTAACACATCCCCTCCCCCCACACACCCCAAACCCCCCTTCCCTCCCTCCGCCCTTCCCCTCCCCACCCCCCTCCACCCCCCCCCCCTCCTCCCCCCCCTCCCCTCTCCGTTCTCCACTCCTCTCGCCTTCCACGTCCCTCTCACTCAACCTCATCTTCTCCGCTCTCACTCTTCTTTTCTCCCCTAACTCCCCCTCCCCTCCCCGCCCCCCCAACGAACCCTCTCTCCCCCCCTCAATCTCTCCCGGGCGCTTTTACGGTCCAGGAGGCCCGTATGAGGTGCTCGCGGGAAAAGAGACGAGCGGGGCGACTTTTGAGTCGACTCAAAAGGCACCTGCGGTCCCTGGTGTCCAAATTCAGCCTCTCCTCGGTGCGTTGGCTCCTTAGGCGACTTTTGAGGCGACTCAAAAGTCACTTCGGCCCAGGAGGCCTGTACGAGGTGTTTGCAGGAAAGGAGACGAGTCGGGCGTTCGCCAAGATGTCAACGGGCCCCAAGGACGCAGAGGGCGATTGGCGGGGCTGACTTACCCCCTTTCTCCCCAATCACCCAGGCACTTCTACGGGCCAGGAGGCCCGTATGAGGTGTTTGCAGAAAAAGAGACGAGCGGGGCGTTTGCCACAGTATCAACGGGCCAATAAGCACTGCACTCTCTTCCCCCACGCATCCGCACGCTCAGGCACCGCACGTCTACGGCTGAGGGGGACCTGATGAAGTATTTCCTGGGAAAGAGGCGAGCAGAGCGTTTGCCAAGATGTTAACTGACCCTAAGCATGCAGTGGCCGATCCGACGGGCCTGACTTACTCCCCTCACCCCCCCCCCTCCTTCCCCCTCCCTTCCCGGCCCCCCAATCACCCCAGGCAATTCTACGGCGCTGGAGCCCCCTATGAGGTGTTTGCTGGGATAGAGGCAAGCCGGGCGTTTGCCAGGATGTCAACGGCCCCCAAGGATGCCGTGGCTGACCAGACGTAGCTGACTTACTCCCCCCCCTCCCCAATCTCCCCAGGCACTTCTACGGCCCTGGAGGCCCCTATGAGGTGTTTGCAGGCAAGGAAGCGAGCCGGGCGTTCGCCAAGATGTCAACAGACCCAAAGGATGCAGTGGCGGACCTGACGGGGCTGACTTACTCGGAGATGGAGACTCTAAGGGACTGGGAGTCGTCGCTGCAGTTCAAATACGATGTGGTGGGCACAGTGCAGGGGAGCGAGGCAAGCGTGGGGGGGGCAGGGGGGGCAGACGGGGCAGGGGGGGCAGAAGAGGGGAGAGAAGGAAAAGAAGATGTGGCAACGGGAGCCGCAGGAGTGGAAGGGGAGGGGGCGCAAGCAGGGGAGGAAGGGGCTGGAGTGGTGAAGGGAAGTGAGAGCTGATGGGGAAAGTGAGAACTTACTCTGAGATGGAGGCTTTCAGAGACTGGAAATCTTTGCTGCAGTTCACGTACGATGTGGTGGGTACGGTGCAGGGCAGTAAGGCGGGCGTGGGGGGAGCAGGGGGGGTGCAAGAGACGACAGGAGGAGGAAAAGAAGGTCTAGCAGCGGGGGCAGTGGCAGCGGAAGGGGAGGGGGTGCAAGGAGGAGAGGAAGGGGCTGGAAGGGTCGAAGAAAGCGAGAGCTGTCTGGGCTTACCTACTCTAAGATGGAGACTTTGGGGGCGAAGCGAGTGTCGCTGCAGTTAAAGTATGTTGTGGTGGTGATGGTCAAGGGGAGCGAAGCGAGTGTTGGTGGAGTGGGGGGGCACAAAGAGGAAGGGGGACAGGAGGGAGAAGCGGATGCAAGTGCAGGAGCAGAAGCAGGGGAGGGAGAGCAAGGAGGGGAGGAAGGAGCTGCAGGGGCGTGCTTAGGTTACGCCCTGGCTGCTGTGATGGTCTTGCACTGTGGCAAGGCAACTCTGAGACACAGACTGTAGTACCGGCACATAAAGTTTTAGGGTTTCAGGATTAGGGTTTACTGGACCTGCTGCAACCCAACTTGCAGGTAACTTCAGCTATGCATTTACTGTAGAACAGTTTGTTTTCAAGGTTTGCTGCCGGCATTACTACGTGCACGATGGTTGTGCTGTTGTGCTGGTAACAACACTACTGTAACATGAAACGATGTTGGATGTGACTAGCTATGCTCGTTGCCAGAGTGCCACAACTCCATCGCAGTCGCAGGATGCAAGCACTGTGTTGGTGTTGTTCCAACTCACATCCACCACCATGGCCTTGTGTCCCTGGGAGAGAGAGAAGGGAGTGGGGAGTGGGGAGTGGGGCATTGAGAGAGGAGAGTGGAGAGGGGAGAGGGTAGGAGGGAGGGGGAAGGGGAAAGGGGGAGGGAGAAAGGGAGGGCAAAGAGAGAATCGTAGGCATTATCACGTCTTCGCAGTCGCAGGATGCAAGCACTGTGTTGGCGTTGTTCCAACTCACATCCGCCACCATGGCCTTGTGCCCCTGAGGGGAAGAGGGGGAGAGGGTGGGGAGAGACGGGGAGAGGGGGAATGGGGAAGGGGGGGAATGGGGAGGGCGAAGAGAGAGCCATGGGCATGATCAAGCTATCACTGTCACATGAGGCAAGCACAGAGTTGGCGTTGTCCAACTCACATCCACCACCATGGCCTTGTGCCCCTGAGGGAGAGACCGAGAGAGAGAGGGGATATGGGGGAGATGGGGGGTGAAGCAGGGGGCAGAGGTGGAGGGGTAAACGTAGGCGAGCCTGCAATCTTAGTGTTACTGAGGTGCAATCTCATAAGGCTTTTGAAGATCCAGCAGCAGGAAACTCGGAGCGTCGTAACAAAGGAAAATGCTGGCATTGAAGGCCTTCAAACTGACGATATCCCATGCGGCTAAGACTCACTGCGCACGGCTGTTACACTCACCGGCACGCGCGCGACCAGCGGGCTACGAGGCTTCATGAAATCGTAAAAGTACACATGGTGGTCGGCATTACCCGTCACTGCAGAGGGCGCAGGGGAAAAGTGGGAGAGGGACAGACAGGGGGTGAGGCACAACTAGAGGGCTGCGAGGCTTCATGGAGTCATAAAAGTACATGTGGTGGTCGGCATTTCATAAAAGTACATGTGGTAGTCGGCATTTCCTGTCACTGCTAAGGATGAGAGGGGAGAGGGGGCGTTGGGGGGAGGGGACGGAGAAAGTGGAAGAGGAAAGAGAGGTGAGGCACAACTAGAGGGCTGCGAGCCTTCATGGAGTCATAAAAGTACATGTGGTGGTCGGCATTTCATAAAAGTACATGTGGTGGTCGGCATTTCCTGTCACTGGATGGATGTGGCATCGGGGAAATGTCGCATCCACATGGAAATTCCCACATCCACATGGAAATTCCCACATCCACATGGAAATTCCCACATCCACATGGAAATGTCGTGCCACATCCACATGGAAATTCCCACATTCACATGGAAATTCCCACATCCACATGGAAATTCCCACATCCACATGGAAATTCCCTGTTGGGCATGGGGGAAAAACGGGAGAGTAAGGGGGGGTGTGGGGCAACCAGCGGACTGCGGTGGCTTCATGAAATCACAGTGGACGTGGTGGTCAGCATTGCCCGTCACGACATGGATGTGAAGAGGAGATGGGGGGTAAGAGGGAGGGGAAAAGGGGTTGAGGGGCAACCAGCACAGCGAGAGTCCATGACGTCACAGAAGCACATGTGGTGGTTGGCATTGCTGACCACCTATGAGGCCAGCATTGCCCGTCACTGCAAGGGGTATGATGCAATAGAACAGGTACAACTGCAGGGGGTATGAAGCACAACTGCATGAGCTGGCAAGAGGGCCGCATCGACAGGTAGCAAGAAGACTAGGAAAGGGGCTGTGCCAGCGTGGCCGGGAGAAGCAGGATGAAAGGAGGGAGGGCAACAACGGCCACGAAACCGAATGGACCAGCTAGCTAGCTAGCTTGCGTGCTCCTCAGATGATTTTTGCGTCGACTAAAAAATCACCTCCGCATGTACCAGCTAGCACGCTCCTCACAGATGATGTACTCTTGCTCCACCACAAACTTACCCATGTATCCCTTTCTCCCAGCCCAGAGGTGCTTTTCGAGACGACTCAAAACGTACCGATGTATTCCCCAGACTCGGAGGGCCCAAGGGGAGGGCAGAAGGCGGCATTCATGTTGGTGGCTCGAGAGGAGAGCTGCAGCGAGATCTTGAGGAAGAGATAGCCATTGAGCTCCAGAGCCGTGCTGGTGGGTGGGGTGATGAGGGAGAAACAGAAGAGGAACAGGAGTGTGAGAACGGACAAGGAATGAGGCGAATTGGGCACAGACTCGTCTTGTGTGTACACGGAGGGAGAGGAGAGTTGGGTGAGTCGTTTGCAGTACTCACGTGCAGAATCGCACGCAGCCGTCTTTGCTGCATGCCAGCAGCACGGGCCCAGTGGCGAGCACAGAAGTGGGGCTGAAGTGCAGCGACCCCACGGGCGCCGGGTGCACCACCCCAGCAGAACAGGCGTTCGGCCCTAAATGCCATACTCACGTGTAGAAGCGCACGCAGCCGTCCTTGCTGCAGGCTAACAGCACCGGGCCGTTAGCAAGCACAGAAGTGGGGCTAAAGTGGAACGAAGCCACAGGTGCCGGGTGCACCACCCCAGCGGAAGTCCGGTGGCGCCTCTGCAGCGCGCCAAACTGCTTGTCCACCGTGAAGCTGTGGATGGCGCCCTCGCTGTTGCCCACAAACACTACACTGTCTCACGTGTACCTCCCACGCATACTCACCACCCTAAGGTTACGGTCTCGTCGCAACGCCAAACTCACGTGTAGAATCGCACGCAGCCGTCTTTGCTGCATGCCAGAAGCACAGGGCCGTTAGCAAGCACAGAAGTGGGGCTAAAATGTAAGGATGCCACGGGTGCCGGGTGCACGACCCCAGCGGTGGTCCGGTGGCGCCTCTGCAGCGAGCCGGACTGCTTGTCCACAGTGAAGCTGTGGATGGCGCCCTCGCTGTCGCCCACAAACACCACACTGTCAACCTCGGCCGCACTGCCGGCAGCTGCTGCTGCTGTCCTGCTAGCAGTACCTGCCGCTGTTTTGCTCCCAGACCCCCCTCCGCTGCTGCCGCTGCTGCTGGTGCTGGTAGCAGCGGCTGCTGCGGTGGTTCTGTCAGCGACCAGAGCGGTGACGTTGCTGTCCATTGCGACTCGGCTCACCACCCGACCCGTGCTGAAGTTCATGACGGTTAGTTCCTTCTTGCTGTTGGCCACCACCAGGAAGTTGTTGTTTTGCTGGGGAGAGGGGAAGGAAGGGGGGGGGGGGGAGAGAGTGAGGGGAGAAGAGGGGGCGAAAGTTGCTGACGGCGACCAGAGTGGTGACGTTGCTGTCCATACAACGCGGCTCACCACCCTGCCGGTGCTGAAGTTCATCACTGTGAGCTCTTTCTTGCTGGTCGCCACCACCAGAAAGTTGTTGTTCTGCTTGGGGGGGGGGGGGGGGTGGGGGGGTGGAAGGTAGGTTAGACGGAGGGAGAGGGAATAAAGGCATGCTGGTGGACACACCGCGGCTCACCACCCTGCCGGTGCTGAAGTGCATCACCGTCAGCTCCTTCTTGCTGATCGCCACCACCAGGAAGTTGTTGTTTTGCTGGGGGGGGATGTGGAGGGAGGTGGGGGGTGGGAGGGAAGGAAGCAGGGGAAGAAGGACTCGGCTCACCACCCTGCCTGAGCCTGTAGTTGATGAGAATTCAAAACTGTTAGCCGTTACTGGGCCTAGTCGATGCTGATATTGAGTCGACTCAAAAGATGAGAATTCAAAACTGTCAGCCGTTACTAGGCCTAGACGATGCTGATAACAAGAATCTGTGAGACTGTGAACGTTTGAGAGCCCTTACCTGGTGGAAGTGTGGAAGAGAATGAGCGAGTGAATAAAGCGCAGACACTACATGACGCTGACATGTATGAGGGGGGTGCATGTCGCTACACAAGTCACTATACACATGTGCGAGTCATTACCGGGTGGAAGATGATGCACGTCTGGGGAATGAGCGTGTAGATGATGCGCAGGCACTGCCCCGTCCCCACGTCCCACACGCGCACACTCTTGTCGGCCGACGACGAGCACAGGTAGTCGTCGTCCGTGGACCAATCGAAATCTGCCACGTGGAATGAACACAGAAAGAGGTCAAATCGAAATTGGTCTGCTATGACCCTGGAGCTTGTGCTTCACTTGAGCCACGCTCAGAGCCCGCTTCCTTCCCCCTCATATGCCTCCTCCATTGCCTCTAACTATGGGTCCGCCCCCCCCCATACTTTGATGCACATAGCAAAGGCCTGACCCTTTGGCACCAACCATCCTCCTTGACCTGGCTTCTCACCTGTGTGTGACGTCATTGGTCTGCACCTTCAGCTCCAGTGACTTCCCCACTGCACCTCCTCCCTTGCTTCCCCACATATGCTGCACCGCACATACCACCCCGCTTCTCACCTGTGACCTCCTTGGTGTGGCCTTTGAGCTCGTGCTTCACCCGCGCCACACCTAAACCCCCCTTCTTCCCCCCTGCACCTCCTCCGTTACTTTCTTCCCGGCTGCGGGGCATGTAACGTAACACAGCGCGCCCTTCCTCACTTCTCACCTGTGACCTCCTTGGTGTGGCCTTTGAGCTCGTGCTTCACCCGCGCCACACCCAAAGCCCCCTTCTTCCCCCCTGCACCTCCTCCCTTGCTCCCCCCGTGTTGCAGGGCACGTAGCACAGCCGGAATGTACCGTCAGCTGCACCGTATGCCAGCAGGTCGGGGTGATGACGGGAAAACTGAACCTTGTTTACTGGAGGAATGAAGACGTGGGTGGTGAGGGGTGGGAGGAAATTTAAGCGTTGGGGACACACAGACAAGCCATCCATCCAACCAGCCCCTTGGTTGCAGGGCACGTGGCACAGGCGGGGCCGGCAAGCAACCTGACGGTCTGCGCCTTGTTCACTCAAAATAGGGGCATTTGGGAGACACCCACGCCATCCAACCAGCCCCCACAGCAGGGCACGTGGCACAATCGAAACGAGCCGTCCGCAGCACCGTATGCAAGCAAGCAGGTCGGGGTGGTGGTGAGAAAAATGGACCTTGTTCACTGGGAGGGAAGAGAGGGAGTGGAAGGGCGCGAGTCAGGACATGCCTTGGGAGTGACTTGGGAGCTTGCGAAGCGACAAATGAATTGGATCCTTTCGGTAGGGTCAGTGTTCACTTTTATGGCCTTCTGCCGCAAACGGCATGGCAGCCACCGAACACAGCACACACGCACCCCAAAGGACCCATCTCCACGCCTCCCCCTCCCGCAGCCACTAGTTTTGAGGCAACTGAAGCAGACTATACACGCCTGAGGCAAGGCAGTCATCGGATGCGGCACACATGCGTATATCAAAGGGCTGATCTCCACATCTCCCCTCCCGTACCTGCTGAGTTTGAGGCGCCTGAAGCAAATTGTACACAGCCGATGCGAGGCTTTCATCGAAGTGACTTTTGAGTCGACTCAAAAGTTACCTGCTGGGTTTGAGGCGCCTGAAGCAGATTGTACACACCCGATGCGAGGCAGTCCTCGAACACAGCACTCACCTTTCCCTCACGTATTCACTCAATTTGAGTCAAACAGACTTAGTTTACACACCTGAGGCGAGGCAGTCCTCGAACACAGCACTCATGCGTACCAGCGGCCCCGTCTCCACACCCCCCTTCCCTCCTGACCCCGCCGTCTCCCCTACCGATTTCCTCCTCTCTAAAGGCCTCCCTGCTGCAGACCCCTCTCTCCCTGCTGCCCCTTCACTCCCTCTCCTCGCCCCCTTCTTCCCCTCTGCGCCCGCTCCCCCTGCCTTCCCACTCGAGTCGGCTGACCCAACAGAACCCGAGCGCGGGGGAGGGGGAGGCAGAACGTTTCTAGAAGCTTCCGGGGGAACGCTGCAGATGGAGGAGGAGAAGCCAGCAGGAAGCGGGGGAGGGGAGGGAGGGGTCGACGGCTGCTTGCTGTCTTGCTGCTTACTGTCTAATGCTGCTGCTGCTGCTGCTGCTTCTCCTTTGCCACCTCCCTCCGCCGCTCTTTCACCGTCACTCTCCTCACCGCCAGCACTCGCTCCACTGGCTGCGCTCACTCTGATCGCCACCTCCTCGCCTTCACTTCCCCTCTGCGCCCCACCGCCCTCGAGCCCCTCTCTGCTTGCAGCACGGCCAGAATCAGCACCAGCAGCACGCCTAGAATCGGCATCCTCGGACCCATGCCCATCAGCAGCAGGAGCGGCTTCAGAGGCTGTTGCAACCGCAGGTTCTGCCTTACCAAGTGCTGCTGCAACTGCAGCAGCTATGGAATCAACACCGCTGCTGCTGGCAGATGGAGGAGCGTCACCCTTGGTGTTGCCGTCAGAGCAGTTGAACGTATCTGCAGCAGTGCTGGGAACAGCAGAAACAGTGGGAGCAGATTCTGAGGTAAACGGCACAGGTGCTGCGTTTCCAAGAGCTGCAGCAACAGCGGCAGCTACGGAGTCAAAGCTGCTGCTGCTGGTGCTGACAGACGGAAGAGCCAATTCGGTGCGGTTGAATGTATCTGCTGCAGCACTGGGAGCAGCAGCAACAGAGCCAGCAGTACCACCGACACCAGGGACATCATGCGTTGAAGCATCAGCATCAGATGCAATCGTACCCTCTGCCATTGCGGTGGCAGACGCTGCAGGCACCTTTGACTGCCCTTCTCCTCCCTCTCCTTTTCCTTCTTCTCCTCCTTCTACTTGGTCTTCACGGTAAGCTACCGAAATCATCCCTTCTGCCTGAATCTTCACCATCCCCACAACCTCCTGCAGACTGTCCTTGCGCTCAACAACCTCCCCAGTACCAGCCTCCCCCACGTCGACCTCCCCCTGATCCTTCTGCCCTGCTGCAACAGCTTCGGAATGAGATGACGGTGCCGCGTCGGCATAAGGCGCTGCAGCTGCTGCGCTTCGCTCCTCCTCTCTGCTCGCCTCTCGCTCCCCGTCTCGCTCCCCCTCTCGCTCCCGTCGCCACGTGTCTCGCTGAGCGCGAAGGAAGGCGCGGAAATCGGCATAGCCAACTCCTGACACGTGCTGCCAGTGCTGCGATGTAAGGGGGGAGTGCGAGGGGAGGGAACCGAGAAGAAAAAACGAAGGAAAGGACTGGTTTATGAGGGAAAGAGGGAGGAAACGAAGGGGAGAGGTGGAAAGGAGAGGAGGAAGTCAATGACACGAGGGTGGAGAGGAGGACCCGGGGGAAAAGGAGGGTGGAGAGGAGGACCCGGGGGAAAAGGAGGGTGGAGAGGAGGACCCGGGGGAAACGGAGGGTGGAGAGGAGAAAGCGAAGTAGGAAGGCGAGAAGTCTATAACGCCCCACTGAGAGCTATCGTGCATGCAAACAGTAGCGTTTGCCAGTGTTGTGCTGGGCCGGCTGCTAGAATTGTTACGGGGAAAGACACAAGTTTCGCTCCGTGCATGCAATGACAATATCGAGGTGCAGAACCTATGGTGGTCACTGCTTAGTGACAGTAACGAGGTGCAGAGACGAATGTGGGTAACATGTTGCTCGAAGTAACACGCTGCTCGAAGTAACAAGTTAACCGCTTGTTGGAATTTTAACATGTTAAATGACAATTTGGAGGTGCAGGGAGGAGCATACCTCAACTACCCACGTCGACCACGTAATCAGGTGACTTTTTCTGACGCAAAAGAAACGTACGACACAACCGTCGATGCCGATTCCTTCTTTGCATATACCAAACGGCCAAAGCGACGCTAGTTGCTAAGCAAGACACTGTGATAAACACGACGCTAGATGCTAAGCTAGACAATACGCGGGCCATATCGTACATCTGTCCTTGAAACATTACCGTACGGATCACGGGTAGTGAAAGGCCATCGCTAGGCAGCACTGGGATCACCTACTTGTCGGTGGAGTGTCCCGTCTTGAGCCTTAGCCTTCAGGAGAAACCGTCGGGCCCCAAGATAATCGAAACCATCGGTACCGCTGAAGCCGTGACCAGGCTCGAGAAGGAACGCCACGCGGATAGCTTCCTGCGAGTCGACCGCCATTTTCTTAGATTTTACTGGAGTAAATGCAGGCGAAATTGGCGGCGGTCTAACTCACGAGCCAGCAACAAGGGAGAGGTCCTGTACTTCCTAGTCCTAGAATGGCTTGCTCGCAGCTCATGTTCTTCTCTTTGACATCAACTTCAAGGGTGGTTTGCTGAGCTTTGGATCACAATTTCACAATGTCTCCCTCCCTTTTTAGTAAGGTTTGCTCCGTAACTGAAGCTGGCGAGGATAGTTGTTTCCAAATAAACATATCGTTTGAACCAGACCTTTTCATTTTCCTTCAATTGGGAAAATGATATGTGGGTAATGAATTCAAGGCCAGTAAGCACAAATTTTGGTTATGCAATGTTTTCATATACCAAGGATGCTGTGTGGGTTGCGTAATGTGATGCACAACTAGTGGGCGAATACGCGATGATGAGCCATGAGACGGCTGATTGAAGGTGCAATCGGGGTCTCTTGTGACGGAGACGTGCTCCCTTGCCCCCCAGCAGCCCAGCCCGTGTTGTTCACCGACCACGACGCCACCAAACCAAACACATCACCCAAGCCACTGCCCTGAAGAGCCATTCCCAGATCACTTGCCATCGCCCACTGTCACCAGCAATTCCACCCCATTGTCTAGACGGCTCAGGAGCGGCAGCTGCAGGTTTCCTGAAGGTTGCGCGTCGGATATTTACGTCTGAAGGTTGAATTGTTCTACCATCCGTCACGTAATTTATGAAGGTTTCTCAACCTTCAGTAATGCGCAGCCATTCTAGATCCCACTCATGCTAGTGCCGCTAGATTCTAGTCTCTCACCCGTCGATCAGCCAGTAATTCGTCAATTGATCAACTGTTGACACGTCAGCATGGCTCCGTGGTACAAGGAGAACACGAGCGTCAAGCTATTCGGCGTCAACATCAATCTAGGCGACCTGACCGCTCTCCCGCTAGCCGTCGGCTACGCTCTGTGCTCCAGCCTCCTCGCTATAATCAACAAATTCGCCATCGGCGTGTTCCCTTACCCGAGCCTCCTAACCTCTCTCCAATACCTCACCTGCGTCGTCGCCGTCATCTCGTCAGGCCAATTTAAACTCCTAGTCCACGATCCGATCCGATGGGACATGATCAAGAAGTTCATTCCGGCCGCTTTCGTCTTCTACATGGCGATTTTCACCAACACCTCGCTGCTTCGCTACGCCAACGTCGACACGTTCATCATCTTCCGCTCCTCCACGCCTCTCCTCGTCGCGTTCGCGGATTATCTATTTCGGAAGCAGCCATGGCCGGGGCCTTACACTCTCGGATCGCTGGTTGTGATTCTAGTGGGAGCAGTGGGCTACGTGTTCACAGACAGCCAGTACACCGTCCGAGCGTACACCTGGGCCTTCGCTTACCTCTTTACAATCACATTCGAGATGGTGTACATCAAGCATATAGTCACCAGCTTGGGTCTCAACACCTGGGGTTTCGTCCTCTACAACAACTTCCTCTCACTCCTCATGGCTCCCGTTTTCTGGATGATCACGGGAGAATTCCGGGAGACGATTAAAGCCGCGAGCACGGCCACGTGGGAATTCGGGATCGTGTTCCCCGTGCTGCTGTCCTGTGCGTTCGGCCTCGCTATAAGCTTCTTCGGTTTCGCCTGCAGAAAAGCGATTTCAGCCACGGCGTTCACTGTTCTCGGTGTGACCAACAAGCTGCTGACTGTAGTGATCAACGTCATGATATGGGACAAGCACGCATCCCCGTTTGGAGTGCTCTGCCTGTTCATTACAATCGTTGGCGGAGTGATGTATCAGCAATCTACAGTGAAACAAAATTTCCGAGGTGGTGGTGGAGGAGGAGGTTCGTCAAAAAGGGAGGAGCAGAGACCGCTGACGTCGCCCAAGGATGTTGAAGCCCACAAGGATCATGGTAGTTAAATTATGACCCTTCTGCTCCATTCTCTGTATCCTCCCCTCCCACTTTCTCTGCTCTCACCCTTTGTCTTTCACACACGCATGCACGCACGCACACACACACACACACACACACACACACACACACACACACACACACACACACAAAATCTCCCTCTCACCGTCACACTCACACATGCATTTGCACACGCGCACACACATACACGTGCCTCACCAACCACACGCGATGCATCAGACCTTCCATCATTGTACCTCTGCCTCCCCCTTCTCTGCATCTGCCATCATGTTGACAGTCAGCATGATTTCACATCCGCTTACCCTGATTTTTTCCAAATGCCACCCACTGTATGTATGTACAACTTACTCTGTATGGAGTCAATTGTGTCTTACTACTGTTACCCTTTATGGCATGGCTTGGATCTTGTTATGGGTGTTTCAAAACGCAGAGGGAGAGGAAGGAGCTGAAACCACTGATGAGCACCAATAGCACTGCGAAGAGCTTATTTATCTTGCTGTGCCACAGCATCTGGTTGCCTCTGACCAAACTTGTGCAGTCGACTGAAGTTAGTAGTATCCCTGTTCTTTTGGATGACGGTCGAAGTCATTAAAAATTTTGACGCTATTCCATCAAAAGTTGGGTGATTAAGTACCGCTCTCCCACAAACCAAAGCTGGCAGTTGTGCACCAGGGGTAACCTTGATCTTCGTGGAAAATGGAGCTATCAAGGTCATTTCTAACGCAATGAAATGTACCACATGGGTTTCAGTGCTCCTCGCATGGAGGGAGAAATTTCAGGTTAGATGTGAGTTCGCGTTGCTTTAATTCCACTTTGTGAAATAGAGGACCATGTTGTGAAGTTGGATTGGACCCAACTGTCTAAACGTGTGGAGCTCTCTATAGAGAGGAATCTGCTTGTGCTTCGTTGAAGCTCACTGTGTGACGCATGCGAGCCATTGCCGTGAATTCCGCTGCGTTGCCAGCACAACTGACGCTGGCTTGCTGATGAACTGATGTCCCACTCGCAGCTCGCGTCTTGCTGTGCAGACTTACTTACGCTTCCTTAGCTGCGTCATTGTCCTTCAAGCACGGAAGCTTTCACACAGCCATACGCAGTCGAAATACCGTGCATTGCTCAGCGTCCGATTCGCGTGTACGTAAACCTCCTGCGCTAGTAGAACCTTCTTGTGTTTGCGCCAATTTTCCCCTAGCGGTGAGTCATTCTTCTTGGCTATTTCAGGTGACCCCGCGTCGGCTCCTGAATCTACGTTGCCCGCTGCTTCCCGTGTCGATTCCGCGCTTCGCTGCTCCTCTGCTCCACTGGTTCTTCCGAGCTCGTGAGGTTCCTATCATCCGTCTCGTCTACTCTCCTGCGGTTCTCGTCTACTAAGCGTCAGCGATGACGTCAACGATGGAAACCCCCAGTTCCGCTGTCCTACCTCCTCGCAATCTATCTGCTAATCCAGAATTGGGACCCTTATCCTCCAAGATACTTCCCCACCTCTTCAAGCTGTAAGGAGCGACAGCTGCTTGTTGCTTCTCTTGTTGTTTCTCCTTTGTTTTCTCGACTGACCTTGAATTGTCTGCTCGCTCGCACGTTGGCAGCTATGGCTGCTCGGCAAGAGCTGAGGATTTTGAATTTTACTCTCCGGATGCGAGGTTCGACGATCCCCTTATGTCAGCTCATGGGTATGTACTCTCTCTTGCACTTCAACTGCACACACTCCGTTTCTTGAGCGATTTGACTGTATATTTATTTCCTGGTTTTGTGTGCTACTCTGTTAGGTTGAATCAGATCAAGTCAGCCTTTTACTCCATGCAAGTGGTGGGTCAGCTCTCTCTCATCTCATGCTGATCTTCATGTGTTTCTTGTTTCTACTAGTGGTGATCCATCGTACGATAAGCATTGTTTGGAATTATTCTCAGCTTTTTCAAGAAGGGAGAATCGTGGAGTACTCTATAGAGGAGACATCAACAGGAGAAGGCTCAGGTCTAGTAAGTTGATACGTGGTGTCATTCTGAATTGAATGGGCAGTGATAGATATCGGATTTTCTATGGCAGTCAATGACCTCGTGGGTCTGGAATGAAGGCAGAATGTTTATTTCAGCACATTGCGAGCATGCTCATTGGTTGGTGATGTGGTGACTGGCAGGTGGTCATGGACAATAAGCAGAATTACAAGGTCTGGGGCAGGCCCTTCGATGTCGACTCAAGGATCCAACTCAAGGTGTCAATGACGATAACACATCAGTGACATCACAAGATAACACATCACTGGCATCACATCTTCCATGCTGCCAGCTGAGCGTGTAAGGTGTCCCACGTGGCTGGCAGCTGACGCTCCACACATGCTTTCATTGTCTTTTGTTGCAGGTTGAAGGAGGGAAGGTGGTTCACCATGAAGATCTGTGAGTTCATCTCATACTCTATACAGTTAATCTTATTTTCTTGTCATAAATCAGAAGAGGTTTTATGCTAAGTTGGGTACAAGATGTTTCTTCTGTATTTTTATCTCTTTACATCGTGTGAAATATGTTCATGACTTCTATGTGCAGATGGAACAAGAAGCCTCTATGGTCTGATCCTTCCAATGGCATTTTTGGATGGTTGGGTTACTCCTGGCGGCGTGGCGCTATGATCACGACAGATGTGCTCATGGGTAGAGGAAAAGATCCAAAAGGGAGGTCATAGCTGCAGTGCGGGTGGGGAGACTTGCTGCAGCCTGCTATGGCATTACAACTAGGGTCTCAGATATTAGACGAAATCGGTCTGATGGTCTGAAAGTCAGACCTGTTTTTTTCCTTTCATCTGATTCTTTTACGGGCTAAATTAATTCGTCTGGTCGTCCACATAAGCCATAAGATTACGCCTGAAAGTTCAGACCAGGTGTAGACTTTCGTCTGAGAATTGAGATAACGTGAAAAAATACATCTTGAGACTAGACATTCCACTTCGCCCACCCATCCCTCCCCCCTCCCCCCCCACAACCTAGATACATTCCCCCCTCGTCCTCGACTGCCAGATACATTCCCCCCGCACCCCTAGAATGCCTAGTTTTTCCGGCTAAGTGCCCCACATAAGAGATTATCAGAATGAATGAATAGAATGGGGAGATACAAGGCAGTATAGATTGGTGAGTTGTACTCACTAAGGCACAAACACATATAGTCTACAGTAACTGCATAAGTTATGTTTGACACACCCCCTAGACTATATAGGGGCAATGCCTGAAGAGCAGTCATCTTCACGG